AGAGAGAAATAAAGATAAGAAAGCATTTGGGAGGAAGGTAAAAGTTGCCTGGCTCCTATTTCCATAGGACAATCCTCAGATGATATTAGAATAAAAGTACTGAAAAGCCAAGAAATGGGTGGTTTTAATACAGGTAAACTGCTTGATGTTGCATGGGCAGTGTATCAAAATGTGCAAATCCAAAAAAAGAAAAGAAAAGAAACAACAGGAAAAAACTAAACATAAAATGATAGCAAATTATGAAAGAAAACAGCAAAAAATTCTTACCCCCAGGGAGGAGTTTTGTAACAGGGGAAGTTGTTCAGTTCCTCAATCTTCATTAGGAAGACTGGGAACTAATCAATACAAAAATTACAAAATAAATATAGATATTGGAAGCAGGAGTATGCTCAGGTAAAACCCAGGACTCCACCAAAGCCTCTCATGGCAATAGCAGAGTCTCTGGTAACAGCCACAACAAGAAAGGAAAACCTGGAAGTTTTAGTAGGCACAGGAACCATTATTCAGTTTTAAATACCAATTAAAATACCAATTATTCAGTATTAAATGAAAGGGAAGTTTAGGGATGCCTCCATCACAATTGTTGGTGCCACTGGAATTCGTGAACTGTGCCTCTTTTTCAAACCAGTTAAGTTCAAAGTAGAAAAATGATAAATAACACATCAATTTTTGTCCCTGCCTAACTCTCCAAAAGTATTATTAAGGAAAAAAACTTACTGGAAAAATTAAGTGCAAAAATCAAGTTTCAGGAAGAGACATTCAAATTAAAATCCCTGAGGCTAAATACCTGTAAACTTCAATTTTTATATTACACTGACTTCCCAAGCTAAACCTATCCCAAAGATAATTAAGGATGCAGTAATCCCCATTGTGTGGGCCAGGGAGATTCCTGGAAAATCAGAAAGAGCAGAATCTGTGAGAACCAAATTAAATCAGACACAGACCTGGTAAGACAAAACCAATATCCTTTAAAATTAAAACATTGAAAAGGATCATTACCTAAGATTAAGAAAATTTTAAGGTACAGGTTGTTGGTGAAGTCCAATTTTGCCAGACAAAAATATGAATTATAAAGATTATAA